ACTTTCTAGCTTTTAAATAACATCACATTTTTCATTAAAAGCAGCTTATCTAAACACTACCATGCAAACACACTTTGTCATAGTAATTATGCTGTATGTTGGCCTGTGTATTGTAAATGACACACTGAAGTGAGAAACTGCATTCTTGCTGTTAGCATCTTAGCTTCCCTATATTAGCGTACAAACTCACTTTTGGTATTTGTCATCCATTTTGAGCTGCTCTAGTAACAGATTTCAGCCAAATTCTTCATTACAATGTAAATCATGCTGCAGTTTTTAAAACAAAAAGCATATAAGCATGTGGCAGGGGGTTGGAATTAGATGATCTGAAGGTCCTTTCCAACCCAAACCATTCTATGATTCCATAAGCATAGACTTCAAGGTCTACAGCCACTGAGTCCAGCATCTGGACCCTAAGTGGCCCAGAATGGAGGCTATGGGGATGGATACAGGTGAGGGAAAGCATACACACAGCAACACTGTGCCAGCACACGCTCCTAACTTATAGTTTCCACTATAACAGGCCTCCTTGAGACACCTGACAGGTGCACACAAGTTGTTCCAGGGTACCCTGCCTGACCTCCGCTTGCTCAAGATCACATACATGCCAAGCCCAGGTTGTCCAATTTTAAATATTACAAGCAGCACTAGAAACATACTTCAGGAAACTGAACCAAGGCCCTAAACTTAGGTGCCTGATTTCATGGTGAATCTTGCTCTTGGTGTTTTGATCATCTCTCCTACAAACACACTTGAGCATCAACTATCCTCAGTAACTGCACCATTACTTAGGTTGGTACTCAGTCACTAACACAGAAGTTCTGACTTCTGCTGGTATTTTATGTAAGAAACTTTCTCAGACTTAACAGATCATAGGGTGTTGCCAAAAAGTTTAAAAGCTTTTACTTTTCAGTGGTTACAGTGTTAGCATATTCTTGCTGCTGTAGTAATGATGTGTATATAAAGAATGCTTAATAACTGACTATCCTAAGTAGTAAGGGGCTGAGGCACAGAAGCTACCCTCCAAAGCTTTACTACTGATCACAACTACCTGGGAAATTGCTCCAGGAAGTGTTAACATCTCAGCTCTTTTACAAATTCTGTTAAAAGTATTTAATGTAACACCTGAGAAAAACAGGTATCTCAAAGTACAGCTTCCTCCTAAGATTTTAAGGCTTAACCCACAGACAAAGTTAACTGTCCTCCAAACGTAAAACATGTTTCCAGTTCAAAGGGAAAAAGATAGAATAGGTAAAATATTTGGACACTGTTGGACAATTCGAAGATATTCTTTGTCTTATGATGTTAGGTTTGGGGTTTTTGAGATTGCAAATTACTCTTTCGGAGGTAGTACAGTTGCTATAAAAGCAGATGTGATGCTTACTTCAGTTGAGTACCTCCAACATAGATTGCTTTTTCCTAGTGCTCAAATCATCAGTATTTCCAAAAGCCTGACTGCACAGTTCAACTGAGATAGTTTCCAAGGGTCTCACCATCTCATAGTATCTAGTCAGGAAAGGTAAATCAGCCCCCAATATCTGAACAGGCTTTTTTTCTAGCTGAAAATCCATGTAACAGCCTATATACAATTATAATATTAGTAACTTGTTTGTGGTCAAGATTCCCATCTTACATAAAGGTAATACAGATTTCATTTACATAATTTTGATTCCAGCTACCATGTTCCTCCATACATACACATACTGCTACAATTGCCATACACAGAGCTATAGTGAGCTCCAAAAAAACACCTGGGTAAATCTTTCCCAGGCATTCCTGCTATTTCCACCTATGGATATTTTGCCATGGCCACTGTCACATACTATTCACCCATTGCCACAGATAGTACCCCTTTCTTTAAGTACATCTAATACTGAGTGAGAGCATAGTATCATAGAATAACGTCCAGGAGACAAGTACGCACCTTAGCCCTTACGACACTCCTTGAGCATGAGCTAAACAGAAAGACAAGTATTCAACACCCATAGTTTCTCTTTGAGTTCTTGGATATAGGTAACTTCCAATTTCCCAGTGTTAATGTGTCCCATTCACATCACTCATTATTCCAGAGCTGGTTTCACCAACCTCAAAGAGCCTCACTGGAGGTACTACAGTTGGATCTTCCCATCAATGCAGGCACTGCTGTCACATTGACCTTTTTATGCTGAGGGAATTCTGTTAACATCTAGATTTTGACAGCTATTTACAGTGAACACTATGTACTTTTCCATGTTATACTGACTGCTAAAGAGAAATCTGAAGGAAATTTTAATTGAAATGAAAAAGTGAGTACTACAAGAAATTAAAAAATGAAGTTGTACAATTAGACTACAAAGAGAAAGGATTTGCTTTGACATCAGGTGTGAGATTACACCACTGACCTTCAAGCTATGTAAGTAACCCTTAGATCCATTTTAGAATAGGTTCTGCACAAAAAGCAAGTAATCATAATTACCTCCTCAGGACAGAGACTTGCAGAGTGAGAATTTGCTGGCCTGTTTCAAGGAAATCAAGGTTCTGAGCCAGCTAGGCACAGAAATACTCTAATGAGTTGCAAAAGTAACTAAAAGCAGCAGTGGAGTTAGAATCTGTTGATTATAATGCATTTACCAAATAATGTTTAATGAAATAACATTGACTAACAAAACACAAATCAATGCCAGGTAGAAACCACACTCAACCTCAATTTTTCATTCCGCTTCTACTGCAAAGTTGCATGCCTTGGTTTGGGAAAGGGTTGAAGATGACTGGGAACATCGCCTCGCATTTACTAAATTCTTTTTCACTAGAATATCTTACATCAGATACAAATCCACTCAAACTCCAATATAGGCATATATACTTGAAGTCTACTGTACATTTAGCTGCTTAAAGAAGTCAGCTACACATGGTAGTTGCCCACAGTTCCACTGAATGCAATTGATTTCTACCTCACAGGAGACTTGATCTATGCCAAAAATTTTATTTCATTACGTAAATGATATTATGGAGCATCTGAGATCATGTAACAGACAAAAACAGAATGCCAGAGAAATTTTAACTGCCAGTACCCCACAGTGAATGCCTTATTATTTGCAGATGGGATATGGAAAAATTGTGAAATTATTGGAATTTTGGGTCCTGTACGAAAGCATTACTTCAGACTGCATGTGTCATAGCAAATGTCTATTATAATTTGAATACATTCTTAGGGTTTGCTTTCAGTGCTCAGAACTGGCTATGCTTACTACTTTAGACTTATTAGCTGAAAAAGACTGCATTCTTCAAAGCGCAAAACAGAACCCTTAGGTGACAGCATGAAACAGCGCCAGTAAGTCAACTGTCAATACTGATGGTATTTACCCAATAACTAAACTAAAACCTAATTTAAATCAATCTCTTTTGGAAAAGCCAACTGTTCAACAAGCGCAACAATCGGTCTAAGATCAATCAGTGAACATGAGATCAATTAAAACCAGCTTAAGTTTTTGTTGGAGGACAATTCACACAACTCGAGTTGGATGTCTATTCATTTCAGTACTCCCACAATGCAATCCTTAAGCTCTGTTGTAAAGCAGAAATACCACTATCACCCTCCGAAGTCTAGCCAGCACTCTAAGTAGTTCCACATTTAATTAAAGACACAGTATACCCTTTGTTAGCACAGATAGTCTGGTCACTTTAAAGGACTCCTAGAGTTCTAGCCACACACACAAAAATTAAATTCCGGAAACCATCTGTTGAAAAAACACCAAAATTAAACTGCTTCACAATTTTATTTGTATGTACTCTGAAGGTAACATCTTCATAAAAGTGCAGACTATTGCCCTTTCACACTTTCAGTGCTATATGCACTGGCTTAACACAGGAGATATTAGCTCCTTCCCCTTCCAAATAACTTCACCAAAAGTCCAGTTCTTTCAAAAATACGAATTTCGCAGCAGCTGAGACACCTGATAACCTCAGCTAACTTTAGGAATGGGAAGGAAAGACATGGCCAAGAAAATAATACGCAAGGGGTTAGCGAAATATTTGTATTATAAAAGTATTTATACTGATGGTTTAAGCCCAAAAACAGGAGGAAAAAAAAAAAAAAGAAAGAAAAGAAAAGAAAGAAAGAAGATAAAAGAAAAAGAAAGGAAAGAAGCAGAAAAGCCCACCAGACTGCGCTGACAGCTGGGAGAGCTGCAGTAACCTTTTCGTCCACATGGGTGCTGTACTGGCACATCTCACCGCTCCGACTTCTGAACTCCAGTAATCCCGACACCAGCATTTTAGGAAAAACAAATTAAACTCTAACGCACCGTTTCCCTTTCTAACTCAGAGGGATCTGCCTGCTTTAGCCAAAGTTGGCGGCACAGGCATCCCTTGGTGCTGGGAGAGGCGCGGTTCGCTCCGCCTTACCGGCAATCCCGAGCTGAGCCGCCGAGAACCGCGGGAGCGGCGGGAACGGGACTGGGACCGTGCGGGCAGGGGAGAGCCCTGCCTCGGAAACACGGTCACCCCAAGGATGCTGGACAGGATGCTCTTCAAAGCCCGCCGCACGGGCACACGAGCCTGAGCGGCGCGGCAAACACCGAACCTCGAGCCGCCGTGAGCTACGACGGCGGGACCGGCCGCTTCCATGGGTGACGGCAGCAGAGGGGCCGGCAGCTCCATTCCCGCGTTGGGCAGTTCCCGGCGAGACCTCGGCTCGGCCGACCCCGCGGGGAGAAGGACGACACGTCCGAAGGGGCTGGAGTGGCGGGGGACTGCACCTATCGCTCGACGGCCCCGGCAGCGCCCCGCGGAGCAGACTCCCATCGGGAAAGGGGCCACGCCGCTCCGCCCGCTCCGGCCTCCCAGCAGGAGGACGGGAAGCAGCCCCGCACCCCTGCTCGCCGTGCCTGCACGGAGCAGACACAGCTCACCTGCCCGTGCTGCCCCGGAGCGGAAGAAGGGGACGGGCACACGCAGTCCTGGTGCCCCGCTGGCACCACTGACCCAGGCGGGCGTCCCGGGCGAGCGGCAGCGCTACTCACCTCTCTTGCTGCGTCTCCAGCGGCCGGCTTGGCAGTGGCCGTAATCCATACAGTTCAGTATGATCAGGGCAAAAGAGAAGAGGCGAAACTGCATCCTGGGCTGCGGGGTGGGCAGCCTGCTCCGGCGGCAGAAAGGGGCGGCGGGGGCCGGCTGCGTACGGGACTACGAGCGGCTGCCAGCAGCGGGGACCGGCAGGAGCTCACACGGCTCTCGCCGCACTTCTCGGGCGCTGCAAACTCGCAGCAGCTTCCAGCATCTCCCGTGCGCCGCAGGGAGGGAGAAGGGGAAAGAGCCTGGCTCCGGCTCGCCCGGTCCGCCCCCTGCTCCGGCTCTCCCCGAGAAACAAAACGAGAAGCAGCACGGCCGTGGGGCGCGCACAGACGGCGGAGCGCAGCTTTCCCCACCTCGGCGGCCAGCGGTGCCGCTCGGGCCGGGCTGTCAGTCGCGGCACAGCGCTATTTATCGCGGCGCAGGGCGCACCCCGCCCACACGCGCTCAGGTCGCGGGCACGGCGGGGCGCAGCCGCTTCCCCCCACCCGACCTTCTGCGGCGCTGCTCCGCCGCCGGACCCGGACACCGGCTCCGCGCCACGGGGCAGCCCCCCGCGGGCTCGGCGGGGCGGGCGGCGGCCGCATGCAGGCGGTGTCCGTGCCGTGTTGTTCCCCCCCGCCCGGGGCTCCAGTTCCTGCGGGGCCGCGGTCCATTGGTAGCGCTGCCGCCGCCGGGGGACCAACCCCCCCGCTCGGCCCTAGCACCGCCCGCCGCCGCCGCGCCCGCGACCCTGCCTCCGCCGGGCCCTAACGCCCGCCCGCCCCGCGCCCCCCGCCCCGGCAGCTGCTGAGGTTTTTGCCTCGCTCGGCGCTCTTCTCCGCTCCCGCAAAGCCTCCTCGCCGCTTCCCTGCACTGCTCACAGCCTCGGGAAAGCTGGTCCTCAGCACTGCTATCCCGCTTTTTTTATTCCTTTTTTATTTTTCTTCCCGCAGTGTTTGCTAATTAACTCTGTTTCCTTCTTTCACCCCTGGCTTTAAAACCTTTATCCATTTATTTTCCCCTCCTTTTCTTCTGGCTTCTTAAAATCTGAGCTCGTACTTTCCAAATAAAGTGCCACTTTCATTGTCCTGGGAGCATGGCTCTTGAATTCCTAAAGTACAACTTTGTTTAGCTGTTTCTAGCCACATCTCTACTTGGCAAAGGTACTGTGGAGCTGGTAAAGCAGGAACCCCAATAGTGCAGGTAAGAGAGGATGAAACAAGTGACCACCCAAGAGGTTCCAGGTGAACTTAGCTCTGATGAAGGAGGGCCTGTTAATTCTCATAGCATCTATTACACTGACCCCACAGAGCTATCTGATTTCTCTGCTCTTTACTCATAGCCTGTACCCCAGCACTGCAGGTATCAACAAAGCATGGCTTCTTGTTTGCGGTGCTGGACATAATGAGCCCCAGAAGACCTGGGACACCACAGAGAAGGTGTGGAAGCTGGGGAGGCAGCTTGGGTCTGACACAGCTGGCAGGTCTCAATAAACCCAGCTGGATCCAGATTGGCTCTGAGCTGGGTGTTTCTGCTCCTTTACACCCACTGACAGTTCTGGTTGTGAGCTTGTGGTGGCAAAGAACCTGAGCTGCCTCGGGATGGAGCCAGCTAGGTTCTCACCAGAGCAGATGTATGCTTTCCAGAACAGAGCTGACTCTAGAAGGAGCGTAACTGTGTTCACATGGCGCTGTGCCTGAGCTAATAAATCATGTTAGACCCCAGCTGACTTTTGTATATGGCCCAGACAATCTGACCACAGATAAATGATGCCTGACTGTATGGTGCTTACCATCCCATCCTGAGACCCCAGAAATTTTGACTGTATTTATTAGTATAATATCCCTCTGAAGCACAGAAGCATCAGTACCCTCAGTTTCCAGACAGAAGACTGAGTTACAGAGAAGCTAAATAACTCCCCTGAAATCAAAAAAGGATGTATAAGACAGCATCAAAACTTAGTCCTGAGTTTCACAAGTTCTCAGACACTACTATAAATAACCCCTGGGCTGCCCTGTTTTACACTTACTTACTGTACAATAGTAGTGATGTACAGGTTTAATCACTAGTATGAAATGTAAACGTTTTGTAAAGTCAAATTATAGCATCTTCCGATGTCAAGTCTTTATTTATTGTAACTGTCATTATGGGGTTACAGTGTACAAGATCCCACTGAGCTACACAGAGCACCTGTACCTCTCAGTGTTGTCATAACCTAAGAATTTCAGAGATGTGACCCGTCAAATAATTAACACAGACCTAAGAACTAGGTCAGCCAAGGTCAGCCTAGCTCCGTGTCAGTGGTCTCTGAGTGGATTTGGAGTGGATGCTATGGGAAAGAGCGCAAAAATGAAGGCATGTCTAAATGTGGTTTGTGGTCTTTACTTCCCATGTCTACTTACACAGTGAAACTTTACAATATATCTTGTTGCAACAGAGGCCATAATTTATTTTAGTGGATGATGTTTACTGGCAACCAGAGTTCTCCAAGATGTGTAGTCCCATATCCACTCTAACTTCACATGACAGGTTGTGTGCCACAGGTACCTGTGACTGACAGTTTTTTGCACTGGCACTATCTTTAGAGCACATGGTTACAGTTTTCTGATGCAGAAATAAAAAGCATACGACCACCCTAGAGATCCCCCCCGAAGTTGTACTGCAAGGGAGAGAGACATCAGACTACAAGAAGAAGGGGAAATCAGAGGGATTAACCACAGCTTTGTAAGCACTCCAGGAAGTTACCTCCTTTACTCTTTTCAGGTCTACAAATCCATACTCACAGGGCTTTTACAACAGTTACCTGGAGATGTGTCTTAGAGTCCTTTGTTTAAACAGTGATAACAAGACCTCACCATGAACACAACTCTGTTTCTGGATGTGTCTGAAATGCATAAAAATATAAATGGACTCTCAGAAAGGTGCCCTGCTGACACTGATGTTAAGTCCCTCAACATGTAGTACTGGGTTTCAGGGGAAACAGGTCTCAGACTTTGCCCCATTTCTTAAGGAGGGAGCCTGTCACCCTTCTCCCCCCTGGGCTCCAAGATGTGGAAAAGTAAATATGAGGAAGGTATCTCCAAGTGAAAGTCTTAGATTCTAAGAGCAGGAGTAAGCCTCAGCACTGAGATTTGCCTATCTGCAATGGGGGAGGCAGTAGCCCAGGTAGAAGCCAGCTCTGCAGAGGAAGCCTGCAGTCAGTGCCTCAGGAGCTGCTGGGATTTCAGCATCCAGGCTAGACCACCCACAGGCAGCCCCTGTTACACCTGGCACAGCTAGCCATGGGCTAGCATACTATCATGCCGTGTAAGTACAGGACATAACTACTTCCTTGTAGTTTTCATGTGATTTAAACCAAGGGACAGAAGGCAGGGAACATCTGCAGGCAGTGAGGTCTGCAGACAGTTGGTCTGTAACAGGCAGGCATCTGAGCTGGAGTGGCATTTTCAATACTTTGGTAGGAAACATTTAAAGGAATATAATTATTTATTTATTTTAAAACTATTTATCAAGAGATGTTTCTAGGCATGTTGGACTGTTAAAGGGACAGTATGAAAGCACTTGTATGAAAGATCCAGAGTCTGAGTGGTGGACACCTGCATCCTGGATCAAATGGTGATTGGAGGTAAACTCTCAGTACTGCATGAGGTATGATAGGCAAGAAGTGCTTTCAAAAAGAAGACAAGCCACTTACGCTTCCTATTATGAGGAAGAATCAGTGGAAGTGTGCAACGAAATTTATTACAATCAAACTTAATGGCTAAGAACACAAAGCTGGACAGACAGCAAGCTAAACTGGATTTAAATTCAGAGAATATAATGTTGCAAAAAGCAAGATATTTGGCAGTAAGTATCTGGATCACAGTGTTGACAGTACAGTGGATGGCAAATTCGTGTTTTAAAATAGGTTGCATGGAAAGAATCTTCTTTCTAGATACAGATTAGACATAGTTTGGTTCTTAAATCTGCAGGTAGGTCTCAGATGATTAGTCGCTGTTACAGAAATAATATCTGAACCTGTGTTTTCAGAGAAGACTGCCCAGATGTAGAGGGTAGAAGGAGGAGATAAAATAGAACATTGAAGTACTAGTCATCCCCTGTCAGGCAGCCGGAAAGTGGGTGAGGATCACCAGAGCATCCCTTTTTGGGTGAGCTTCTGAAAGAATGGTAAGAGTAAACAAACACTGAAGAGAACAAGAACTAATGTAGAAAAAAATCGAGCATATAGGTAGCTGTTTCGGATGGTCAGTAAATCAAGAAGAATGAAACTAATTTTGAGATATAATTAAGAAACGGTCCTTAAAAATCTTGGGAAGAATGGTGCCAGTGGCTCAGAAGCCAAATCAGAGTCTATGGAGTGCAGAATATGTTTACAGTCACAAGGGAAAGACTAAGTGGGCTTGAGCAGACAAGGAAAAAAAACTGGGACGGGTTCCATAGGATGTGGTAGGCCTTTGTGCCTGTAGTCCCCCTGAAATCAACAGAGAGGAATTCACTGTAGGCATGGCACAGCATGTGTACCGTCATGCAGCACTGGGGCACTAATGAACACTGCCTGCATTCTAAGGGGGAATTCATCAAAGTGAGGAACTGGGAAAACTGCCTGAGCAATAGTGTGTTCATTGAACATGGTCATAGAAAGAAAGCATTAGTCCAGGCCCAAGAAGATGATGTGGCAATGATTGAAATACCAGATGATGAGAGTCTGGGCAACAGCTTTAGCTGTGGGGATAGCTCAGAAGAGGTGCATTTTACATACTTTATTCAAAAGTCTCAGCAACCAAATTAATGTACTTGAGCAGTGCTGAGATGATTCATTACAGTGTTCAAAAATCTTAATATTTTATAGAACCAGAGTTCTGTTCATTGAAAATTCAGTTTTATGTGTTGTGCTCCACAGATGTTTCACTGACTGTAAAAGACCTTACCTTCTACACTTTGGCTGTATTAAAGCCAAAGTACTGCTGCTTTTGCAGTATAAAGTAATTGAACCTTTCCATTCTTTATTGGGCTCCATATGATGTGATCTGTAAGTATCCTAACTTCATCACATAGCAGAGAAAGATCTTAAAATGAACAATACCAAAGTTTATTTTAAAAGAGATTTATCCTTATTCCTGTAGCTGGGCAACTCATCTCCTTTACACTGAAGTCATGATCTTTCCTAAGGCTAGTTTCAGCAATAATATGTAAGTCTTTACACTGCAGTAGAAGAGATGTATCTTTATTTTCAGTGGAAGAAATGAGTGATCCTGGCAAGTTTTACATCTAAACTTAAAAAAGAAATAAATTTATACACAATCCAGCTTCCAACTCTTTATTTCCAAGATAATCTTTACCTCCTTTAAACTGTTTAAAAGCATGTTATCCGTTAATTCTTTGAAAAGTGATCTAAACTAATAAATAACAATAATGGAACAATGTGCCCAGTTTTGCATCTCCCAGAACTGGAGCAAGACCAATGAGGAGCCACCATGTTTGGTGGCTGGAGTACTAACCATG